GATGTGGGTGCCAAAGATGTGGGCTGTGGAAAAGGGGTCTGGGGAGTCCCAAATTTTGCCCATAGCTGCCTTCTTCTCATCTCTTTTCCTCTTATTCCCTTACGTGTCTACTACCAAGCCTAATAAAACTTAATAAGACTAATAGTAAGTGTCTAAAGCATTCTGCCCTGTACCAAAGATATCTGAATGAGGCTACTGTTTATTGTATTCTTTGTTAGGTGAAAGGTTAAAAAAAAAAAAAGTGCGTGTTTTTTTAATCCGGTTCATTCAGGTTTGAATATAGAGCACAGCAAAATACAATGAAGAGTATTGTACATCAGTGGTCCCAGTTTCTTGAGACATTGAGAGAATATAGCTCTGTGTTCTCACCATAAATTAAAGGGAGACTTCCAAAGCCTTGACTGATATCCTTCTTAGATTTTTGTAGTATTGAAACCTGTGGACATTGGTATGTGGAGAGATTTGAGTCTTGGCTAGTACAAGCTTGGTTGCTGAACTGCAAGTCCTTCTTACCAAACAAGCACACAATAGCAGCTTCCATAACGGAGTAATATATTCCATGATGGGTGCCAGATAGGGCAAAGGGAATGTGTTACCCCGTGGTAGATCAACCCACCTCTTTGATACCGGCTGGAAACAGAAGTTGAAACTTGCCACTGGTTGCATAAGTGATTCCTTTTACACGATGTGTCTAATTACATTTTTTTTTTTTTTTTTTGAGATGGAGTCTCACTGTGTTGCCCAGGCTGGAGTGCAATGGTGCGATCTCAGCTCACTGCAACCTTTGCATCTTGGGTTCAAGGGATTCTTGTGCCTCAGCCTCCCAAGTAGCTGGGATTACAGGCACATGCCACCACGCCCAGCTAATTTTTGTATTTTTAGTAGAGACGGGGTGTCACCATGTTGGCCAGACTGGTCTCGAACTCCTGGCCTCAGGTGATCCTCCCACCTCAGCCTCCCAAAGTGCTGGGATTACAGGTGTGAGCCACCGCTCCTGGCCTAATTGCAAATGTTTAAGTATAAAAATTGTATTAGGGTTCTCTAGAGGGTCAGAACTAATGGAATAAATATATATATATATAAAGGGGAGTTTATTAAGTATTAACTCACACGATCACAAGGTCCCACAATAGGCCATTTGCAGGCTGAGGAGCAAGGAGAACCAGTCTGAGTTCCAAAACTGAAGACCTTGGAGTCCGATGTTCAAGGGCAGGAAGCATCCAGCACGGGAGAAAAATGCAGCCTGGGAGGCTAGGCCAGTCTCTCTTTTAACTTTTTCTGCCTACTTTTTATTCTAGCCATGCTGGCAGCGGATTAGACTGTGCCCACCCAGATTAAGGGCGGGTCTGCCTTTCCCAGCCCACTGACTCAAATGTTAATCTCCTTGGCAACAACCTCATAGACACACCCAGCATCAATATTTTGCATCCTTCAATCTAATCTAGTTGACACTCAATATTAACCATCACAGTAGTCATTAGCTTCTGGGTGGAGAATTTGCTGTTTTATTTGAATAGAATCTGGGTAATGTTCAGTCCCGAGATATACTTTTTCTGCTTTCGAAAAGTAGGGTTAGGCGTTACTTTTTTTTAAATGCATAATGCAAATAGAGGGGAATATTGTTGCATACTACAGGCTGAAATGGAATTTCTCGCATTTTTGCCATAAGGTTGTCAAGGTGTGTTAATGCACTAACTTTGCATGCATGAATGAACACACTTAGGGCATTTGGAACTGGTGGAAGAGTCCCTTGCTGGGCCCTTGCAGGGGCTGGCCTTGGCAGGAGTCACAGATGAATGTGAAGCTGGAAAGACTATCCCTTGATGACTTGGAGCCACTTTCTACACTGCTTGCTTGTGCTGGGAAGCTTTGTTTGTAAATTCCTACTTGACTTTAGGCTTTATCACTAATCAGTCCTCTGCTCATTTTTTTCTGATGAAGCTGCTGTTAGTTGTTTCAGTGGAAATATCTATGTATATTGCACATGTATGTTTATTGTGGCACTATTCACAATAGCAAAACCTTGGATCCAACCAAAATGTCCATCAGTGACAGACTGGATTAAGAAAATGTGGCACATATACACCATGGAATACTATGCAGCCATAAAAAAGGATGAGTTCATGTCCTTTGCAGGGACATGGATGCAGTTGGAAACCATCATTCTGAGCAAACTATCACAAGGACAGAAAACCAAACACCATGTGTTCTCACTCATAGGTGGGAATTGAACAATGAGGACACTTGGACACAGGGCGGGAAACAGTACACACAGGGGTCTGTCATGGGGTGGGGGTCTTGAAGAGGGATAACATTACAAGAAATATTTAATGTAAATGTCGAGTTAATGGGTGCAGCAAACCAACATGGCACACGTATACCTATGTAACAAACTTGCACGTTGTGCACATGTACCCTAGAACTTAAAGTATAATTTAAAAAAAAAGAAATATCTATGTATCAACACCTCACTTGCCCATTGATGCCAAGGTCTGTGGTGTTTCAAATGAGTGTAATTTCAGAATAATGGATGACATTCCTTCAGAAGTGCCTTTTAACCCAGTTTAAGAATTGTTCTGGCTGGGTGCGGTGGCTCATGCTTGTAATCCCAGCACTTTGGGAGGCCGAGGCAGGTGGATCATTTGAAGTCAGGAGTTTGAGACCAGCCTGGCCACCATGGTGAAATCCTGTCTCTACCAAAAATACAAAAATTAGCTGGGCATTGTGGTGCATGCTTGTAATTCCAGCTACTCAGGAGGCTGAGGTGGGAGAATCGCTTGAGCCTGGGAGGCAGAGGTTGCGGTGAGCCAAGATTGTGCCCCTGCGCTCCAGTCTGGGCAACAGAGTAAGATCCTGTCTCAAAAAAAAAAAAAAAAAAAAAAAAAAAGAATTATTCTTAGCGCACTTTTAAAAATGAGGAATTGATTTACTGTACTAGGAAGAACGCACTCTTTGGAGAGAACATCATGGCGATACCTGGTTGTGTCTCCCTGGACAAGCTTCTAAACTTTTTCTGAGCCTTAGTCTACTTCTGTGTAAAAGGGGAATGAATACGCTTACTTCTTCTTTGAGGTTGTTGAGTACAGTAAATGAGACTAGGTAATTTATGAAGACAAACATTTTCTAGGTCAGGCAAGGTAGCTCACACCTATAATCTCAGCATTTTGGGAGGCAGTGGGCAGATCACTTGAGGTCAGGAGTTCGAGACCAGCCTGGCCAACATAGTGAAACCCTGTCTCTACTAAAAATACAAAAATTAGCTGCATGTGGTGGCACATGCCTGTAGTCTTAGCTACTTGGAGACTGAGGCAGGAGAATCTCTTGAACCTAGGAGGTGGAGGTTGCAGTGAGCTGAGATTGCACCACTGCACTCCAGCCTGGGTGAGAGTAAGACTCCGTCTCAAAATAAAATAAAATAAAATAAAATAAAAAGAAAAAGAAAAGAACAAACATTTTCTAAAGTTCTAGAGACTGGAAAGTCCAAGTCAAGGCAATGGCAGGTTCAGCATCTGGTGAGGGCTGCTCTGTACTTCCAAGGTGGCACCTTGAATGCTGTGTCCTCACATGGTAGAAGGGAAGGAAGTGAAAAAAAAAATGACCTAGCTCATTCCCTCCAGACCTTTTATGAGAGCACAAATTCACTCATGAGAGCAGAGAGAGCCCTTTGGCCTAATCACCTCCCAATTCCATACCTTTTAATACTATTGCATTAGGGATGAAGTTTCAACATGAATTTTGGAAGGGATGTAAACATTCAAACTATAGCAGTATGTAAGGAGATGAACATAGTGACCAGTTATAAAAGTCATACATTAAGCTGTAGTAAGACTAAACTGGCTTCTAATAGTTCAGGAGCTGATAGCTGAATTTTCTGGAAGTTCTTGAGCGGGTCGACCTGATTTGGTAGCTTGAAATCAGTTATGGTGAAAGTACGAATCAGACTTTTTCTTCCCCTTGGAGAGTTGGTTGTTAAACATTTAGGAGTATACCATTGATAATAACTGTCAATTCCCCTTCAGCATAGCTCCAAATTATATTATAATCCTCCTAGCCTTTCAAAAAAAATAGAATTTAAAATGATCCTATAAAGAGGATTTAAGATAATCACAGTAAACTTCAGTCACTTGCCATATTATAGCACAGAGATGCTGTCAGGGCCCATTGAAATTGCCTCCATAGGACTAGAGAACGCTCTGTTTTTTGAGGTGTTTATCTTTGCTCTCTATAATTTTTTCTTTCTCTCGTTATACCAGGTTAGTTGGTGTGGCTGTCTCTAATAGCTCCTTCCCACTTCTTATTTGCTATTTCTCATCATTTCATTAGCTGAAAAATCAGCTTTAACATTATATGTAAAGTAAAAGTAACTGGTTCCCAATTAAAAAATGGGCAAAGGATCTGAATAGATGTTTCTCCAAGGAAAATATACAAAGGGTCAATAAGCACATGAAAAGGTGTACCAGATCATTAGTTATCAGGGAAATGCAAATCAAAACTACAGTGAGATACCACTTCACACCCACTGGCTACAATAAAAAAGTCCAAAAATAAGAGGTTGATGAGGATGTGGAGAAATTGGGGCCCTTATCATTGTTGGCAGGAATGTAAAATGGTACAACAATGTTGGAAAATAATCTGGCAGTTTTTCCAATGATCGCACAGTTACTATATGACCTATCTCTTCTGCTCCTCAGCATATATCCAAGAGCAATGAAAACATATGTCCATGCAGAAATGTGAGTATAAGAATGTTTACAGCAGCATTATTCACAATAGCCAGAGTGGAAAGAACCTAAATGTCCATCAACTGAAAAACAAATAGTAAAATTTGGTATATCCAGTCCATGGAATATTGTTTGACCATAAAAAGGCATGAAGCACTGATACATGCTACAGCATGAATCAACTATTTTATTTATTTATTTATTTAGAGACAGGATCTCACTCTGTCACCCAGGCTGGAATGCAGTGGTACAATCCTGGCTCACTGAAACCTCCCCTGCCTGGGCTCAAGCTATCTTCCTACCTCAGCCTCGTAAGTAGCTGGGAGGCTAGGACCACCTAGCCTTGCACCACCACACCCTGCTAATTTTTGTATTTTTTGTAGAGACAGGGTTTCACCATGTTGCCCAGGCTGGTCTCTAACTCCTGGGCTCAAGTGATCCCCCAACCTTGGCCTCCCAAAATGCTGGGATTACAGGCATGAGCCACAGTGCCTGGCCTCGATAAACTTTAAACACATTATGCTAAGTGAAAGAAGTCAGTCACAAAAGATCATGTATTCTACGACTCCATTCATGTGAAAGTCCAGAACAGAAAAATCTATAGACATAGAAAGTAGGTTAGTGTTTGCTTAGGGCTGGGGTGGGAACAAAGATAGAGACGCAGGAGAGTAACAGCTAAAGGTTATGAGATTTCTCTCTGAGGTGATGAAAATGTTCAAAATTGTCTGTGGTGATAGGTGTACATATCAGTAAATGTCTTAAAAACCATTGAATAGAACACTTTAGTGGATGCATTTTATGCCATGTGAATTACATCTCAATAAAGCTGTTAAGATTTTTAAAATATATGTTATCATGAACTATCATTTAATTCATAAACAGCAAACATGATTTAAACTGAAGAAAAATATTCTTAGGCAATTAATGTATTAATGAAGTTTTTAAAAAGTAAACTTACTTTGAGGGACAATCTGAAGGGTTCATGAGAAAGGGAAATGCATGGATTTTTGACATCTATTTTCACTGTTCAGGAATCTTTCTCTTTTTGGATATATTCTGGAGAGTTATTGTCTTAGATAAGTAATGTCCATCTGAATGAGTTGTTTACAAGAATTTTAATTCCCTTTTAGGTGACCAATACTGAAGGGACTGAAGACATTTCTCTCTGTCTCTCTGCATTTGTGTATATGTGTAAGTTTAACAGTTTTGGATGATGGTGGTGGTGATATTGCCATTCACAAAAGATGCTTTAATATCTGGGCTCTGTAGAGACTGGGGGATGGTGAGGTATGAGTGGAAGCTGAGAGGGCAATATCAATATGTTGACATCCACATCATTGGTAGAACTAGAGATAAATGATGAGTAAATGTTTCCTAAAATAGCAAGTGATTCAACAGCTGCGTATATATATCTATAATTTTTCTTTTGAAAAGAAGCTTGTAAGACATTTGATACAAAGAGTGGAGAGGAAAAGATACTTATGTAAACACTGACCCATGCCAGTAACTTTCCACTTGATATAACCCTCTTGTGTGATGCCAACACTTAGCAAAATGTCTGCCTTTTATGATTTGCAGAGTTTTTGTGGAAAATGTTACCTTATGCCCTCTTTTAGAAAGAATCTACATATTTGAAGAGGAAAATATCTATATGTCACTTGAAATGTTTCATTAAGCATTATGAAATATATATATCATTTATTAAGGGTAAGCTCATCCTTTACAGAATACTTATACACCACTTGCAAGACTTAAAAAAAAAATTCTCTGCTGAGACTCTTTTTGCAGTGAAATTCAAATTTTAGCTTCTATTAATGCTATTGTTACATCAGTATTTGGTTTGTTCTTGCCCATGCTTTATTGATATTCATTCTTCGTTTATTTTTGTTTACCACAGTGCTCAAGTTTTAGATTTCAGGAAGGAAAACACACAGGGAAAGGTACTTCTGAAGTCCCGTACCACATCAATTGCTTGAACATAGTAAATAGTAAATACAGTCTAAGAAGCACCCAAGACTCCAACAGCTCAGTTCCAATCTTCTGGTGAGGTATAAATGCTGCAGGAAGGGAATTACTCAGTAGTTGTCCTCGCTTTCCACCGCACCCATTGTTTCCTTCACCCTCCATGCACCTGCCCACTTGTGCAATCCTTAGTTGAGTGTGAGGATGTCATTTTCTCAACAAGCACTGGGTCAATTATAAAGCACTTTGGCACTGGGGGAGAGTATTTCTTTCTGGCCTCCATCAATGGATGCTTAATCTCTGGAAGCCTGGGGTTTGGTTCCTCTGGACTTCAGTAACCATAGTTGCCAATCTCAGCTAAACGTCTGGGGAGAAGGAAAGGACAGAGAGGCAAAAAACATCTTACTGCTCCTGGTGGTCAGGTCCATGGATAAATTGCCTCCTGGAGAAGAGGGAAGAGGGACAGTGTGCGATGATTTGTGCATCTGGGAACTTAAAGGATAAGGTGAATGCAATGACTTAACTGTTGGATTAACCTGGCATCTGTCTTTATTTCATTGGAGTTGATATATAACATCAATATGAAATCAATATGCAACTTCCTGGGCTTGGAAGAAGAGACAAAATATCATAAATGATTTTAGAAATAACATCTATGAGACTTTACTTTTTGTTTGTTTTATTTTTGAGACAAAGTCACAAATAACATCTATGAAACTTTATTTTTTGTTTCTTTTATTTTTAAGACAAAGTCACACAGGCTGAAGTGCAGTGGGACCATCACGGCTCACTGCAACCTTGACCTCCTAGGCTCAAGAGATCCTCCCACTTTAGCTTCCTGAGTAGGTGGGACCATAGGCACAGGCACACTTCACCACACCCGGCTAATTCTGTTACTTTTTGTAGAGATGGGTTCTTGTTATGTTGCCCAGGCTGGTCTCGAATTCTTGGCCTCAAGTGATTCTCCCACCTGGGCCTCCCAAAGTGCTGAGATTGCAGGCGCGAAGCACTGCACCCATCCTGAAACTTTATAATGGGCATATTTCCTTAATTCCCATCTTAGAACAAATGAAATATGGCCACTGTAGGTTGGAAGATGGACTGACTTTCATGAGGAAAAACAGAACTCCATCAGTTCACAGCATCTCACATCAGAAGAAAACCCAGGTTATCTTTGACGCCATTTATAGACAGTTTCTAGTCTACCTACAATCTAAGTTGCAAAATTATTACTATACATTTTTACCTTTACAGAAGGCATGTATACCCTCCTTATATTCAACTTTCCTTTGTTCAAATTATTAATTAATTACTCACTTAAAAAAACACTTCCCATATAAAATTTTGCCTGTCCCTTCCCACTGCTCCTAATTATTTTCCTGGATGTTATCAGATGCTGCTTTCTATTTTTACCATCTTCCTTTGGAAATAAGGTGACTTTAACTAAATGTAGGACAAAGGGGTTCAATGATCTTGTAGCAACATTGGAATATATTCTCTGTTAACAGTGTATTTGCTTTTCTGTTTTAAAATTCTGTTGAGCATCATGTATACATCTTCATTAAGACGTCTTCTGGGAGCCTACATCTTTTTCCTGTAAGGTTAGAACTAATTCGGAACTTACCCGAGTGGATGAGTAATTTAAGTTGCTACTTCCAATGTGCATGACTTTGCACTTGTCTGTTCTAAGCTTCATCTGCCACTGTTTTGCCCAATTACTGAGTTTGGATTCTATGTTTTTCACATCCATCTGTGTAAACTTAGGGAACCAAAATAGTTTTGTGTAGTCATCAAATCTCAGCACCTCATTATTTAGTCCATTTTCTAGGATGTTACCACGTATCCTGGAGGACAGTGCTCTTGCATCAATCGCTGACACCCCACAATTAACTCCTTTCCATGCTGAGAGCTGGTTATTTATTCTTTTGCTCCCCCTCTATCTCTTAACCCACTTTTAACCCATGATTGACAGCTCTTTACCTCTTGCCCAGTAGTTACCAAGTTTCCTTAATAGTCTCCTGTGTAGGACTTTATCAAAAGCCCTTTGAGAGTCTAAACAAATTACATCCACTAGTTTTCCTTTACCCACCATTTTGTGGCCTCCATAAAATTCTGCATGAAAAATACTAAAGACACATAAAGAAATAACAACTTCCAAATGTTCTTCTCTTCTTTTTGGATATGCTGGTTTGTCATCTAGTGCTGTTTTTTTTTCTCCCTTTCCTTTAACATTAATTTTCCGTTTGTGTCAACTCCAGCCTGTCACCGAACCTCTGCAAACCAAAGATGCATTCCCTGTCTCATATTAATGCTGCAACATAACTGATAAGATTTTGAGCGACTTTACGAGGTAAATAAATTCCACTGGTTGGCTCCTTCTGCATTGTAAGAAACATGCCCTGCTAACTCTCTCACTTATTTACCAGCTTGTCAGAAATTTCAAGAAAGCAAATTTTCCCTTTGAGAGCGAACATTCCAATATTTTGGTTTCAGGGGCATGATACCTTGTCATGACTTTTTTTTTCTGTAAAAATATTTATTTGGGCTACATACATCCTACACCAATAATGCCTCACCTTAAACTGACAAAAAAAGGAATTTAAAAAAAGGAACTTTGAAAATGTGTAATAAGTAACACAACAGTCTCCTTTGTCATAATTCCTGGTTTGATCCTGACTTTGTTTGCCAGGAGTAATCGCTCTTTGTATTCATGAAAGCATTGATCACACTGGTGTGGGAACTGTAAAGGAATATGAGGGGAGTCTGAGCACTGGTATTTTCACTCACATACCTTTTGAACCTTGAAATAACCTTATGAAGTCGGTAAGATATGCGTTATTATTACTATTATGTGTAATATTTAGAAAGACAGCTTTCACTCTGTTGCCCAGGCTAGAGTGCAGTGGCACAATCTTAGCTCACTGCAACTGCGAACCCCTTGGTTTAAGTGATTTTTCTGCCTCACCCTCTGAGTAGCTGGGACTACAGGCACTCATCACCATATCTGGCTAATTTTTAATTTTTTTGTAGAGACGAAGTGAGTCTCCCTATGTTGCCCAACCTGGTCTGGAACTCCTGGCCTCAAGCCATATTCCCCTCTTGACCTCCCAAAGCTCTGGGATTATGGGGATGAGCCACTGAGTCCAGCCAAGTCACATATTATTATTATTATTATTATTATTATTTAGAGTAAGCGGAAACCTAAGCGATAGATCATTTGCCCAAGGTCATGGAACAGTTTAACGATCTTGGATAAAATCCAAGTTTTCAGATCCTTCATCCACAATCTCTTCTCTTCTTCCACGCTGTTATTGTGAGTTTCTCTCTTTCTTTGAGGTGAACGTGTAAAAGATTTAAGCCATTTTAAAAATAGCTTGTGGCTCCTTATATACTATTTCTTTCAAAGTCTTTTCAAGAAACATGCAGTTGTCAATGTGGAGGAGACTCTCGTTGCCCTCTTATATCTCATACCTGCCAAATCTTACCCTTTCAAAGTGAAGGACATTTTCATTTTCGATTAATATTAAGACTACATAAAAAAGCATTTTGCTCTCTGAGACAAGCTTTTCTTCAGTGTTTCAACAAACCATTTATATTTTTTTTATCATTTTTTTTTTTTTCCCTACAAAAAAGTCTCCCTCATTTAAATTGTCACAGCTTGGGAACCCTGCCTGGAATACATAATAACTGCTTGTAACACTTAAAACGAAAACAAATTTACCAAGGATGGTGGAATGACAACAAAGAACAAGAAAAATATAAGTACATGGAAAATAGTCTCTCCTACGCATACATTTTCAGTGCTAAGTATTTTTATTGAAATTGCTGTTTCCTGTTCTCCTACTTAGCTCCCCTTCATCTGGATTTTTTTTTTTTGGGGGGGCCAGGGTAGGGGTTGGGGGACAGTTTAAAATGGAAAGATCTAAAGAGAGAGAAGAATGAACCATTATAATTGTCATTTGATTTCTCGGGTTCAGAAAGTAGCATTCGATGAAGTAATACTGAGTCTTAGCAGAACACTGATGGATAGGTAGGTAGAGCAAGGTTTCTTCCTCAACCGTGGCACTACTGACAGTTGGAGTGGGATACTTTTTGCTAGAGTGGCAGGCTGTGATTTTTCACAGTATCCCTGGCATCTAGGCACTAGATGGGGGTAGCGCCACCTTCCCCAGTTGTGACAACCAAAGGATCTTCGGACATTGCCCAAGGTCTCCAGGCTTAGAACCTAGAGGCAAGCCTCTTAGGAACGTACTTGTAAATGCTGGTGGGGACTTTGACAGTCAGCCCACTCCCGCCCATGGGCAATCTCTCCCCATCCAGGGAACATCTTGAGTCCTAGAAATAAATTCACCTCCAAGAAGGCCTACTTGCTTACCTAGTCTTAGCTTATGCTCTGTGTCCGGTGATTCTGAAAGATCCATTTACTCTCTTTTGCCTGAACTCGCTGGAGTTGACAAAAACACTTTGAGAGCTTCCCTATTGGTAGGGAGGAGCTCCTGACATTTCCTGAGAATTCCATGCTCCTCTCTGGTTTTATCCTACTGCTCCCCTCTTCCACCCAGTGCGAATTCTGCACTAAAAAACAGAACCCCACTGGGAACCAGCTGACCTCGCTGACCTTGGATGAGTCAGTCTCTACTCTGGTTTTTTGTTTTCTTGTCCAACTGTGAAATAGTTGGACTAGACAATACACCTTCAATTCTACTTAAACGTAGCAGAAAGGAGCTCTAGAATATTATGACCTGAATGTTCTTGTTTTTCTTGGCTTCTTTAATCTGTCAATTTAGACTTTAGAGGCAACCCTCTACTTTCCACAAGGGCATCAGTCGATAACTTGTTTTTTGGGAAAATATTGTTTCGGGTTGATCTGCCTGCTTGATTTCACCTGTACTTACTCCCTCTCACTCACCACCCCAAAGCCTAATTTTATGAACCCATAAATAAGAACATGGAAAACTCAGCCACATCTCTTGAAAAAGACAACTCATTTGTATTACATCAAGAAGTTGTGAGTTCAATCACACCTTAAAAAGACTACATTGAGATTAAGCAGCAAAGTGTGTGAATGAAACCATATTTGAAATACATTGTGGGAATAGGTTATTTTAAGTAACCTGCTGGGAAAGCATTTTAGAAAAAAAAGATGAGTACTCTAAAAAAATATAAATCAAGTAACTATTACTGGATTTATCTGGCTATAGCATTTCAAAAATTACAAAAATCTGATTCATTCCTACAAAGTCATGCAACCTTTTGCTGCTACTCTTACCACGCTGCTACTATTGACTCTTGTCAAGATCATGCCTGACTTTCCCCAGACATAGCTGGTGCTGCCAGGACAGATGTGGTCAAGGTGGTGAAGGCTTCTCTGCCTCTGACTTGCTAGTTGTGTGACCTTAGGCAAGTCAATTTCCCTCTCTGAGCTTTAGTTTTCTTTTTTCTAAAATGAGGAAGTTGAATTTTATTTCTAAGTTTACTCTAAAATTCTAAGAACTAAATAAGAAACATGGGTTAATGACAGGACTGGCTTGAGGACACAGACTTCAGCGCAGCTGGGGACCTGGATCCCAGCAGAACTGGCTCCCCTAGGTAAGCAAACCCTGGACTTTTCCTCCTACCCCAAAGGGAGAGGTGGGCCGGAGCTTCCTCCCTTGCACCACAGAGTCTAGAGGGTTGCACACCACAATCTGCTCCCTGCCCCTAGCTCCAGACCTTTTGATAATAGGCAGTGGTTCTAGGAAAATGGATGGAACTCTGCTAAGAGAAATGCCAACAAAAGGCCCAGAGGAAGAGAGAGAGGAAGACCCCATGGAAGATTCGGATGTTCGTCTGGGTAGAAGAGTCCAAAGCGGATGTACCAGCATGTTGTTAGCACACACACACCCTGTGTGGGAAGAGGAGCAGCTGAGGTGACCGGGAGGTGACGGATGCTCTCACTCTTCATCACGAAATATTCAGAGAACACCATTCCAGCTCCTTGAGATCTACGGTGTCCAGAGCAACCCCAGATTCCTCTATCATCATAAATCCCTGACTAAAAGAAAGCAGCCAGAAGATTTTCCCCTGTGAAATGGCCCAAAGTCATTCCATCAGTCTTTCTCGAAGATGCACTGGGTGCCCTTCATCATTATCACATTATAAATGAATTTGTTAAGAAATATGTGCTTACTGACTACAATGTGCCAGTCACTGTGCTAGATGCTTGGGATGTAGCAATGAATAAACAAACCTATCAAGATTCCTGCCCTCAGGGAGGTGACAGTCTCTCAGGGGAGACAGACACACAATAACGATAGGAAGTAAATTAAATGGCATGTTAGAAGGTGATGGAACTAAATAAAGAAAAGAAAGGAAAAGCCATCATTTACTTCATCATTCATTTTTCAGTTTTCCTTTAGCCCCAACATTCAGAATCCCCCCAAATATTTTCTCCGCATTATAATTTCTTATTCTTTAGTTTTTTCATTACTAGCATGACTAGAGTATTGCTTGAGACTGATTTCATTCTATGAATACACTTTATGCATTGTGTAATGTGGAAGTGCCTTGGCTCTGTTCAGTGAAACATTTTCTAAATTTTCCTTTCAAGACTCCCACGAGTTGGGCAGAAAGAGCATCATTATGCCCATTTTACAGACAAAAAGCCCAAGGTTCATGGAGTCTTTGAAAAGTTGGGTGTCTTGATTTTTTTTCTCAGTATTCTTTTGCAGACTTATGTAGGAAGTATTTTTGGTATATTCTCTGTGGGAAAAAGTGTTAGAAATTTCAAACAATTGACTTCAAACAATTATCTGGAACATTATTTAGAACAAACCAGCTATTTGTTGGCAACTTCTTTTTTTTTTTTTTTTTTCCCTGAGATGGAGTCTCACTCTGGCATCCAGGCTGGAGTGCAGTGGCACGATCTCGGCTCACTGCAACCTCTGCCTCCCGGGTTCAAGTGATTCTCCTGCCTCAGCCTCCTGAGTAGCTGGGATTACAGGTGTGCGCCACCAGGTCTGGCTAATTTTTATATTTTTAGTAAAGAGGTGGTTTCACCATGTTGGTCAGGCTAGTCTTGAACTGGCTGGTCTTGAACTCCTCGTGATCCACCCGCCTTGGCCTCCCAAAGTGCTAGGATTACAGGTGTGAGCCACTGTGCCCAGGTGGCAACTTCCAATATAGTGATTAAGTAGGTTCACACCTGATGGCATATTTCCATTTCCGGGAAAGTGATGGTTAAAAAGAAATCTACTTACATTGTGTGCTTGATTGTTACCACTGTGGTTCCTGATACTGGGTTATCCTTACCAGCCACCTGTGATTTCTTTAGAGAGCTGGCAACCTGCCCTGCTCATCATGTGGGGGGA